GATCTTTACATTATTTTTTATGAACGTTTATTATTCATTTGTTGTTCCTTCAAATAAACGCGCAGGAACGACAAAACGACTCAATGCGATACTAATCGAGCCACCTCGATGAGACGAAGCAGCGGCTGGAGCGAGACGCAAATTTCGTCGGACGAACCCCTGCCGAGAAATGATTACTTACGTTCAAAGACACTCTTCGAGATGCTTGCGGACGTTTTCTTTGGTGGACTCCTGCAGTGGCATGATCGTGATCTCTTTTCCTTCAGTAGGAGTTTATCGTTTACAGTGATTTCGTCGGGCACACGATAATGTTTCACACACGTCGAGAGACGATCCGTACTAACGAGTGCACGAGGCGGGAACAACTGACTGGTAGCTCACGGGACAAACTGGTGATTAACATTGAGCAGACGTCTAATTGGCTGTTGCGGCCGACGTTTCGCGCCTAAACATGGCGCGCCAATAGACCGGCGGCCGCGTTGGCGCCGAATTCGGCAGTTTTCGATCGCGGCAAGCGAGCGCAGTAGATTTTACACAAAAATAATCACCGAAGAATTTTCGTGGCAACAGGAGTCCGCATTTCAGTGATCCCGTACGATCGATTCCCATTGCGTCGCTCAATTGTTTCGACAGTTTCCCGCGCATTTTGCAAGACTGTGCGAGTGTGGGGCATTATTCCCTCGGCAACCTCCTGCGCATGCGTCAATTATGTCACACGTGTAGCTGCTTAACATACTCGTGTCTAAAGCCAGTGGCACACAGTGCTTGTTTTCGTGCTGGATTGCTTGCTGGATGAAAATATTGCATTCTGATTAGTGCATTTCCATCCATCTTCGAAAATATACCAATCAGAACGCAGTATTTTCATCTAGCAAGCAATCCAGCACGAAAACAAGCACCGTGTGCCGCTAGATTAAGGTCCAATTCCACAACTTGCTTTAAACGGAGTTTAAACGGAGTTCAAAGCAAGTTGTGGAACTGGGCCTAAGGGTCGTATTCATAGACTGCGTTCCGATATTTACTGTCAGTATTGCAAATCTATAGTATACGTGACACAAACTATATATTTTCAGTACTGGCAGTGAATATCGGAACTCAGCCATAGTCGAATCTCAAATCAGCATTTAAAGCCAGTGGCACACGGTGCTTGTTTTCGTGCTGGATTGCTTGCTGGATGAAAATACTGCGTTCTGATTGGTGCATTTCCATCCATCTTCGGAAATGTACCAATCACAACGCAATATTTTCATCCAGCAAGCAATCCAGCACGAAAACAAGCACCGTGTGCCGCTGGCTTAAGACGATCTTGGTTAAGGTCTGCAGGAGCCATACTAAAGACCTCTCGCGGAGACCCGCGAACTAGGCAAAATTATATTGCAAATTATGAACAAAATACGAAGAGAATCACCTTATATGTATGATATTTGTAATCAGGAGAAACGCCCGCATCGTACAAAGAGCATCGTACAAAGCTTTTTTTGGAAAAAAGGTCTAAATAAAAATCGAATAAAAATTTTGAATGAAAGTGCATCCTGCGGTGCAGCACGAGCCAATATTTCCATTTATTACAAATTTTCAAGAACCCAAATGCAAAATCGGGCTCTGTACCGATCTAGATACTATAATATAAGGAAGATGTCTATGTAAGTCTGATAAGCAAATATAATGTCTGCGTGGCAAAATATGCTACACGGAAAAATACACGGAAAGTGTAGCCTAGCTGCACTATGCTGCAGTCTATGGGCCGTATTCATAGATTACGTTTACACCATAGACATATACAGGGTGTTTGATAGCTGATCATGCACACGAAAGTTGGAGATAGATTGGGTGTAGCCGAGAAGAAAAGTCATGTACCATAATGTCAAATTGCCAATAGTTATCGAGTTATTAATTAAAACATATGAGCCAACGAGCGCGTAGAGAGCGGAGGGCGGCCGCAGTAAGTACGTAGACATTTGAGCTGCGTTCCGATATCCACTGCTAGTACTAAAAATCTATAGCTCGTGTCACGTATATTATAGAGTTTCAGTACTGACAGTGAATATCGGAACACAGCCTTGATACAGGCGGAGTCAGTGAGTGACGGTAGGCGAGCGCGCGCGGCGAGGGGCAACGTAAGCGACAAGAGGCGATCGCGCGTGATTTGAAAAAAGGATCAATAAGTGTATTGAGGTTGAAGGTAAAAATTTCGAACACTTACTCTAATTAATTGAACAGTGAGAGGCAAGGGGACTCACATTAAAAAAGCACCCCGATCTGTGAGAGGCAAGGGGACTCACATTAAAAAAGCACCCGAAGAGAACATAAAACTACTACGTCCTCGTCGTTGTTCCTGTGTAACGCTAAAAGTAGTTTCTCGGAAAAATTCAACGCTATCTATCACGAATGAAAAAAATTGTTTCAATAAAAATTTCACGTACAATCTAATTCTGCAATGAAAAATGTGGGTCCCCATTTGAGATTTGAACGTTACCACCCACCCTACCCCGAGAGGATGGGGGGGAATAACTTTTATTATGTTCTTTAAAAATATTGAACAGGTATTTTTTATTTCTCAATCCAATGATCATTTCTGGAGAATTGCGGAAAATATAATTTTTTGCGATTACAGTGCCATCTATCACGAATAAAAAAAAAGTTTCGGACAAAATTTACGTATTTTGTGGCGTAGAATTCATATCTGCAATAAAAAATGGGGGTTTCCATTTAAGATTTCAAAGTTGCCCCCAACCCCCACCCCCAGGGGGTGGGGTGGGAGGTCGAGTTTGGTATCATTGGATGTCCCCACTTTTTTTTATCCAATGCATAGTTCTCGAGATATTTCAATGTCTTCAGATAAATCGTGCACCCTATATACAGGGTGTCCCATTTTAAGTGTCCACCCCAAATATCTCTCTTATTTTTTATTTTAGAGAAAAATGATTCAGACACGTTTTGTATGGTTTCGAAGGAGCCATAAGACACGTTTTGTATGGTTTCGAGGGAGCCATAAGATGGAGCCATTGATTTGACCTTGAGTCATTTGAAGGTCACGTGAAGATAACCTCAATTTTTTTAGATAGCACTCCCTATCCTTTATTACATATTCTTATAGCTGACCTCGAGAGCTTCCCAAAACACTATAATCAAATGTTTTTTGGTGAAGTACTTTTCGAGTTATAAAGGTCCAAATTTACAAAATTTTGATAAAAATACAAAATATTTCGTAAAACATTCACTTTCCGATAGTCTTATCTTACATGATCCAACCAGTCAAGGCAAGATCCGAGCATGATCCAATCAGTTAAGGCAAGATCCGAGCATGATCCAACCAGTCAAAGCAAGATCCGAGCATGATCCAGCCAGTCAAGACGAGATCCTATATTGCCTGATAATCAATGAACTGTAACAATTGTGAAAGTGCAATTGTCAATTCTCTTAATGAAACAAATATCAAGAGGCTTGTTTCAAATTTCTTACTTGGGTAACTGTCGGTATTTTGGCGAAGTCTCAGACAGATGCATATTATTATCCATTGACTTTTTTTTGATAAGACAGGAATTTTTGGTTTCTTGGCGCGTTTTTTCTTTATAATTATGGCTGCTTACCCACCAAATGGAATTGTGGACATGATTTACATTTGGGTGAGGCCAGGAATAATTACTCGGTAGCAGAAAGGCTTTATGCTGAAAGATTTCCAAACAGACGCCATCCTGATAGGAAAGTAATAAAAAGACTCTGCGACAGAGCTGAACAGGGTATTCTTAGAAGAAACCGGCGAAAATCAGGCCTTGATGAAGTCACATCATTGACTGTTATAGGTGCCGTTGCTTTGAATCCTCAAATCTCTACGAGACAAATTGAGAGGCAATACGGTATATCTAAATCAACAGCCAATCGTGTGCTCAAGCTCAACAAGTTTTACTAGGGAGTGCCATCTAAAAAAATTGAGGTAACCTTCACGTGACTTTCAAATGACTCTTCAAGGTCAAATCAATGGTACCATCTTATGGCCCCCTCGAAACCATACAAAACGTGTCTAAACCATTTTTCTCTAAAATCAAAAATAAGAGAGATATTTGGTGTGGACACTTAAAATGGGACACCCTGTATATATACAATGTGTGTATTTATACATAAATAAAACATTTGTATAAAATTTTTATTAAGTTTTTTTTATTTCTTTTGATACATGTTATATATTGTACAAAAATAATTGATGAGTTATAAGTTAATTAATATTAAGAAAAAGAATTAATTTTTTTTAAACATGAAATGTACTTTTTGAAACAATTTGAACTTTAGTTTGCTTTAGTTTAGTAGTTTGCTACGTTATGTATTCATATAAAATGTTAATAATGAAATTGTACGAACAAATAAGAAAAGTTCAATCATAACAAAAAAGAAAAACAAGAAAACTTCATAATTTACACCAACATATATTTTTCTTAAATATATATATCACATATGAAAAAATAATCATACTTAACAAACTTAAATTATTCTATAATTATAGCATAACATCTTATCTTTATGTGTGTAATATTCAGACATCACACAAAACAAAAAAAGTAAATTCATGTCTTACAATTTTAATTCTGTGATAATAAGACTTTTCTTTGTGTTTAACAAATATTCGCATTCTTATTAGTCAACAATTGCTCTTATTATTATATGGAATAAACATAACATTATATAAATATATTCTGCACACTGCATTCTGTAAATTTAAGAGATATATATTTTAGGAGATAGGGGACTTAAAATATTAAAGTAAATACTGAAGGAGACTTAAAATATTAAAGTAAATACTGAAGTAATACTGAAATTTTTTAACAGAAAATGAATTTTTTACTTGTTAAATAAACTTTTACAAGTGTGCAATTTAATAATTAATATTTTACTTAAATAATAATTTACACAAATTTTTGTTATAACTAAAAATATATTTTTTCATATGGATAATACTTGTTTTTTATATAGATAATACTTTTTAAAAATAATTAGCTTTTATAATTTCACGAGGTATGCCATATTCATTAGTAAATATTTACATTTTTTAGAAACATGGAACTTCAAAACTAACAATAGCATACAAGTCTTTGGTTTACAGTTTACATAATGCTAATAATCCAGTTGCAACATTACGTAATTAATTTGTTAACAAACGCTCTTAAATTAATATTTTACGATCTCAAATTAATATTTTCTTTGTTTAAATATTGGTTTTCCAAAATCGTAAGTTTAGTTTTACTAATTTCTATTTCCAGATTATTTATCTTATTTTTATGTTGTATTTCTATTTCATGTAACTGTTTTAAATGGTTTACTTTTATTTTGGTTATGCTTTCCTCATATCTCAACTTAAAAATCGCTAACTGTTGCTCTTGGTCCATCACTTGTTTTATACGTTGCAATTTTCTTCTTCATCTGGTGAGTTTATTAATTCTTGATTTATACACTTCCTTTTTTTCCTTTGTATATCTATACTAGAATGTATTGACTCTTTATTGCAATTTTTCAAAGGAAGTATCTCTGTAAAAATAAAAAGCAGTTTTGCTATTATATTTTCTACACATCAGAAAAATGTTAATGTTATATACTACTATTTAAACATAACATATATTATAATATAAAACATTTTGTGCAATATATACCTTGTGAATCAACAATCTTGACATTACTTTCATCATTTGTAGAATGTTCTCCGTTTATATTATCTAATTTATTTTCATTTATATTAATACATATTGCATTCAATGCAAAGTTATCTTTATCTGAAATACATAAAAGTTTATAAAATAAAAGTTAATAAAATAAAAGTAAAACACGTTGATATAAAAAATATTTAAAAACATGTGATATATATATATATATATAGGTTGCGTGAAAAGTTCGCGGAGCGAAACTGAAATAAAGAATACCAAATTCTAAAAATGATTTTATTCTTTAATATAGTTTCCATTAACTTCAATACACTTGGCCCAATGACTCTCCAATAATTTTATTTCATCGCGGAAGTGTGTTTCTGGAAGGTCTGCGAAATATGCCTCTACGGCTGCTATAGCTTCTTCATTCGACAAAAAACGCTTTCTACGGAGGAATTGTTTCAGGTTTCGGAACAGATATAAGTCGCTGGGTGCCAAATCTGGCGAATATGGTGGATGATCAAGCAATTTGTACTTCAATTCATTGAATTTAGACATTGACAAAACACTTTTGTGAGCAGGTGCGTTGTCTTGGTGAAAAATGATTTGTTTGTGCTGCAAACCACTTTTCTCACGAATTTTTGCGTCCAATTGATCTAAAAGGTTACAATAATATTCAGAGTTAATTGTTTTACCTTTTTCCAGATAGTCAATTAACAAAATCCCTTTAGCATCCCAAAAAACTGATGTCAAAACCTTTTTCGCCGATCTTTCATGCTTTGTTTGCTTTGGAGCTGAACATCCAGCTTCAGTCCACTGTAAACGTTCCTGTTTCAATTTAGGATCATGGTGATAGATCCAAGTCTCATCCATAGTTACAAAACGACGCACAAAATCGGTTTTATTCTTCTTAAAACGATCCAAACGACGCTGAGAAATTTGCTTTCGAGCGAGTTTTTGTTGAATTGTTAACGTATGCGGCACCACTTTTCCAAACACCTTTTTCATTTGTAATTTTTTATGCAAAATATGCCATACCCGTTCACCTGAAATGCCTATGGTATGAGCAATTTCACGCGTAGTCACACTTGGATCTTCAGAAACAATAACATGTATTTGCTCAATGATTTCTGGTGTTGATGCGCTTTTTGGACGTCCACTGCGTGGATCACCTTCAATGCTTGTACGACTACATTAAAACTCAAGTGCCCATTTACAAACCACTGTTTTTGAAGGAGCAGATTCCCCTAACACATTTACCATCTCGGAATGAATTTCTATTGTCTTTAAACCTTTTCTAACAAAGAACTCAATCACTGCACACTGTTTCAAATTTTCCATTGCAAACATATACTGACACGTCAACTTCAATTGGCTTGTAAACACAGAAAGAATTGACAGATGGAAATGAAACCTAACCTAGGTTCATGTGAAGAGTGATTCTATATAACCGAACGGATATAACATCAATAAGTAAACGGTAGAATTACATTGTAATTCTACCGTTTACTTATTGATGCCGCTCCGCGAATTTTTCACGCAACCTATATACATATATACAGGGTGTCCGGAATGTGATCATTAATATTTTGTGTACTGGTAGAACTCGTTAAAACAATTAAAAAAGTCCTGTGCCATTTTACAATTTTTTCAATATTTATTCCGTAATTAATTAAAATGTGTAAACGAATGAGCGCACGAGAAAACGACAGGACGGGCTCTATGTATAAGATGGCTTACCTCACGCAGCGAAAGGCAACCGTAAGCGACAAGAGGCATGCGCGCACGACGAGCGAGCGAGCGCGAACGACGAGCGAGCGAGCGCGAACGACGAGCGAGCGAGCGCAAACGACAAGAGGCGGCCGCCCAGCGCCTCTATGCGCTCATTGGCTTACATGTTTCAATTAATAACTCGATAACTATTACCAATTTAACATTACGGTACATGACTTTTCTTCTCGGCTACACCCAATCTACCAGTACACAAAATATTAATGATCACATTCCGGACACTCTGTATATTGTAAGAAGTTCAAAGGTGATGCAATTAATTTTAAAGAAAAAGATAATTTTGGTATTCAAGTTCTATTTCATAATGTCATAAAGAAATATTAATATATAACATTTAAACTGGTAACTTATATTAACAAATACCTTGTGAATCAACAATTCTTATATCGTTCTCATCACTTGTGAAATATTCCTTGTTTGTATCAAATATTTTTAAATTATTATTAGTAGACAATATGTTAAATGCAAGCTCGTGCTTTCCTAAAATGTATAGATAAAAGTTAATAGATATTAAATATAAAAATAAGAATAAAATATATTGATATTAAAGAAAATTCAATATATTTATATTGCTAGTAATTTAGAAGTGATATAGTTTATTACAAATATACCTTCAATTTCTGTTTCTGTCATATTTGATGTGAATACCACCGGTGCAGTTGTCATAAGATGTGGAACTATATTAAGAATATTGGGATCAATATTTGCATCTTCTTCCTGTGGTCCCCCACCAGTTGCTAGACGTGATTGTCTTTCTTTGGTTAAGGCATCTCTTTGGGACTGCTTTAGATTTGTCCACAATTTTTTTAACTGTTGCACAGTTCTCTATAATCATATTTTTATTTATTAAAGCATAAAAAAAAAGCATAAAAAAGTGGATACATAACGGACGTCCAATGGACATCCGTGTGCTGTCTGGGTATGTATTGAAGCATGTATATTATATAGTTCTTATTTCTTGTGAGATCAATGTTGATTGGTTATATTTTTCACATATTTCACTCCATGCGATATCTTTATCTTTTAATGTCGTAGCATCACTTTTCTTAATTTCTATTACATGTTTATATTTTTCAAGTATCTGTAAAAATACTTTTTATTCCATTGACGTATAGTGTTTGTTTTTACTTGAAATAGGCTTTTCTTTGCATGACATTCTGTACATAATACAATATTTAATAAAAATTATTCAGTAAGATTCAAATAAGTATTTTGTTTTGTTTATATATGTAATACATTGTGATATTCAGTTACTTATAATAGACTACAGAAATTACTGAATTTTATACATATAGTCTTTAGCTTGCTAAGAAAATAATACTAAACTTTATGAAATAATGATTTTATGATAGATATGTATAAAAAGTAATGCATACTGTAATGAAGAAAGAAAATGTGTCAAAAAGAAATAAATAAATAGATTACTTTAAGGTTATGGCTGTAAGAATGTTTTAATCGAGTTAATAAAAAAAGAAGTTAATAGTTAAAACAATATCAGTTTGCAATCAAATATTATTTACATAATCATTTATTTACAGATAATAATATTATTTACATAATTCATTATATTCTATCATTATTTATTATATTCTGTTTGTGCATTTTGCATGTAATCTACTTTTCTAAATTAGAAAATTAAAACGAACTCAAGTATATATCGTTGGACTCTGTTCACAAACCTGTATATTTTTTTAAGTTCTCTCTCGATGAAGGACAATTATTAAAGCGTTAATTCCTCTTTCTCTTTCTTTCTCTCTTTTTCTGAAAATGGCTCGTTATTTCTTCGATAACATTATATACAAGATAGAACGCAACCGAATAAAAATGTATCTCCAATGCAATATTCCTATTGGAGATTTCAATAGAAATATTACGGAAATAGCCGAATAGCAAATAAGTTCGATCTTAAGAACATTTTCGCCAAGATAATCTTAAAATAAATAAGAATTTCTTATCGAAAAACTTCTCCTCAAACATTATCTTATTTCACGACTATGAATTATAGGATCTTAAGACGAGCTTAATTAAATAAGACAATCTTGACGAAGATAATCTTAAATGTTGTCTTCAGCTTTGACTATGAATACGGGCCCTAGAGCAGTTTTCGTGCATAGTCGAGATTCAAACCAACGCACTCTACACTCTGCTGAGTTGACTGCGGTGCTAATATACTCTGCTGGGTTGAGGCTTTATGGTGAGAATCAACTTTAGCTTTGAGTTCGCCTCGTTGCCACGATTCAGGAGCGAACTCGATCGCCTCCGTGTGGAGCGAGTATCTCTCTTTCCGAGCGTCCGTCGAAGACCTCGGCTGTTAGGAACTGCGTTGCCGTCTTCTTGAGAGATTTGCGAGCTCTCTCTTGCTAAGTATCCGTCTAGGATCTTGGTGCGTTCAAAAGCGACGTGATCGCTTCTTCGAAGACTCTGAGCTCTCTGTCCAAGCGTCTTCAACGCCTTGGCTAGTCGCCCCGGAGCAACCGAGTCGCCTCTCGCGTGACACGAGCTTAGCGCTTTCTCTTGTACATCTCCACGCTTCTCAGGAACGTGGCAGCTTGCAGGCCGTTTAGTCCGGAAGGGCAGGCCATCCGAAACGACGGAGGTCGTTTCATTCAAACGCTCGTGGACGTATCTGTCACGAGTGTTCCTCGGGTTTCTCGGGTCGGATTTACGACCCGAATAGGCCGTACGAGACCTGAGTCTACTACCATCCTTGACTCCAATCCTTCTGATAAGGGTGTTCCGGCATCCGCGTATCTCCGCTCATTTCTGAGCGGAGTCGCAAACATTTTGGTCCTTCGAGCCGGATCGGAATCGAAGTAATTGCGCCTGCGCACAATGGCCAGTATAGAGGAACTGCTTGCTCAACAAGAGCACGTTATGAAGGCGTGTTATGAACTAGCTCGCATCAAGGAAAAAAGGGAAGTATCATTTAAAGAAGAATGTTTATCCGTTTTCGTCAATTTCATTCTGGAGAAGGAGCATTCACATAAATATGTGGACCCAAACATAGAAAAAATTCAAAGACCAAAATTTCGAAGACGTGGATAAGAAGAAGAATCTAAAATTTTAAAAAACTCGACCTCCTTTTCTAATCGGGATTTCAAAGAAATATCGCATTGCAAATCGCACAATTCTTCCTGAACAAATAGGCTTTGTTCCTCGATTTGGGCGATAAGAGGATTGCTGAAGAGCATCAAATCTCGTCTTAAACTAAATCTCGTCAAAATCACAGAAACGCCTATCAAATTTGTTGAGGGGTGGTTTGTAGTTGTTAAATAAGCGTTAGTACTGAAGTAAAATCGTATAATCAACTTAAGAGATACACTTGGTATATAGATAATGATTCTGCATACACAACTCTCTTTCTATTGTCTCGAAAAGAAAAAGACTACTATCGTCCACGCAGGACAAAAAGAACAGAACGAACTACTATGAGAGTGGACGCTCAGTCAATTGGAAGTGCACCACACACGCCCTCTCGCTTCCAAAACATTAGTTATGATGCACTCTACGAGGTGGCAATAGCAAGGAATATGTTTGTGTCCGATCTTTTTACCTCAACAAAATTGATCAATTAAAGATTGAATAATATTCAGTTGCTTAAGAAAATTACAATTTGTGCCGTGTTCTTCAAAAAGAATTTGGCAGCAGGGAAAAGAATGAAGAAGATTATCTTGCAACTGATTTTTAAGAAGCAACAATTTTCTACAGAAAGAATCTACACAACTAACTAACTGAGTAATAGTTTGGTCGAACTTTTGCAGCTTTAAATTTAAAATATTTAAATGATTAGTTATGTCGGTTATGAGAGCAAGCTCGCAAAGCGAATCTAAATCTTCGAAGAAGAATCTAAATTCGTCCAGTGTTGTAAGATATTCTTCTTGCAAAAAGAAAGAATATCTCTTTTCTTATTGCGAAGTATGTTTCAAGACATTTTCTTGCACTGAGCCATCGCACTTCACAATATAAAACATCTGTGTAGGTTGCGTTATGCTCTTCGAGAAAGTGTTTAAATTTACGCTGAGAAAGGAATTTTGGCCACCTTTAATTAAATTAATAATTTTTGTGACCGTTTTCATGGCGCTGCAGAGTTTAATATCTTTCCCACATAACGTTTCTTGATGAATAATACAATGAATAATAGGGAATGTAAAACCTCGCTGCTTTAAATGTCCGACGAACCCGTTTTTAAAACCTACCATTGATTTTGCGCCATCAGTGACTATACCCGAACATTTTGAAAAATTGATATCGAATTTTTGCAGACATTGGCTAACAGCCTTGAAAATATCTGCACCTGTTGTCCTACCATGCAATGGTATAAAATCTAAAAGCTCCTTGACATGTGAAAAATATTCAGTTTTGTACGATTCGAGTAAAAATACTCAGTTGACTCACATGCCGATTATCGGTGCTTTCATGAAGACATAAAAAATAATGTGAGCAAGACACTAATAAAAATTTTAACTTTTGTTCTAAAGAACAGGCAATATCGTCAATCCGTGATTTCACGGTTTTACGATTTAAAGGAATGCTTGCAGCTTCTTCTAAAGTTATAGAATCTCCAAACGATTCCATTGCTGCGATGAGGCACTCCTTTACAAATTCCCCTTCACTATACAACTTTGAATTTTTTGCGATGAGATGTGCAATTGCAAACGACGCGGTAAGTGCTTTCGTAGAAGATTGAATATTCTCGACACTTAAATCGCGACCTTCTTGATGAACTAATTTTAATCCCTCAATTAGATTTTGTTTTTCTTCGTCCACATATTTGGAATACTCCTGACAATGAAGAGTATTATAGTGTCTATAAACGATATATTTTTTAACAACTGATGGTTGAAAACTACATAAAAGACAGATGACCCTATCGGAAATGTAAGCGAAGAAAATTTGCTCTCATACCTTATCAAAAGTTTGCCTAAACTTTTGATTCCTATCCATTGTTCCAAGAAATCCAGCCAAAAGACTACACCAAAGACACGAAATCACAAAAAAACTTGAGATGAGAGTGCGAAACTGTCTGTATTCTCGACCTTTAACGAGCAGACTCTCATACAGACTGTGGAAACAGCCAGACCGTAAAACAATTGCATATCGGTCAGCAACAGAGTCCACACATTCAAACACCACAAGACTCGTGCGTGTTTATAAACAGAGAGAGTAAACAGAGAGTGTATAAGTTGATAGAATATTCAAACTATATGGATGAGGAAAAACGTAATATATTTTAAGAATTAAAATTAATTCATGAAGAAAGTAATATCAGTGTCGAGAATTTTTAATGTTCTATGAAAACCCTTATCGAGTCATATGCAATATCAAATTTCATCGCAAAAAGTTCTAAGTTCTTTAGCGAAGGAAAATTTGTAAAAAATGCGTCATTGCAGCGGTTGAATCATTTGGAGATTCGATGACTTTCGAAAAAGCTGCAAGCATTCCATTAAATCTGTAAAATCACGGATAGATGATACAGCTTCATCTTTAGAAGAGAAATTATAATGTTCATTTGCGTCTTATTCGTATTATTCATTATGTATTTATGAGAGCACCGATAATCGGCATATGGATCAACTGTGTATTTTTGCTCGAATCGTACGTAAAACGATTTTTCACATGTCAAAGACCTTTCAGACTTTGTTGCAAGGGAGAACAACAGGTGTTAAAATCTTTAAGGCTGTTAGCCAAACTCTGCAAAAGTTCGACATTGATTTCTACAAATGTTTGTCTGTAGTCACCGATAGCGCAAAAGCAATGATAGATTTGAAAAACGGCTTCTTTGAACAAATAAGACAGCAAGGTTTTAAAATCTCTGTTACTCATTGCATCATTCATCAAGAAGCGTTGTCTTATAAGCTTAACCCCTTGACTATGAATGACGTAAATATGCGCATGAAAATTTTGCCTCTCCGGCGTACTCTCTGCACTAAAATTTTGTTTCCCTACCGAGCCATACATTTTATCGTATTTGCTCTTTATTATTTAGTGGAGTAGGCCTACTGGGAAAAGCATTTTAAAAAAACGCAACAGCAATAGTACCTCACAGGTGATGCGGAAATCTATTGCAATAATTCTTTAATTATACTTTTTTTATGTCATTCTTTTCATTATGTTGTAATTATATATATATATATGTGTATATATATATTTATATATATATATACAGGGTGTTTGATAACTGATCATGCAGACGAAAGATGGAGATAGATTGGGTGTAGCCGAGAAGAAAAGTCACGTACCATAATGTCAAATTGGCAATAGTTACCGAGTTATTAATTAAAACATGTGAGCCAACGAGCGCGTAGAGAGCGGAGGGCGGCCGCAGTAAGCACGTAGACATTTGATATAGGCGGAGTCAGCGAGTGGCGATTGGCAAGCGCACGCGGCGAGGGGCAACGTAAGCGACAAGAGGCGATCGCGCGCGACGAGGAGTGAGCGAGCTTTTTCTTTATAGCTTTTTCCTTATAGCTCGCTCGCTTACCTCTTGTCGCTTGCGCTCGCTCGCTCCTCGTCGTTCGCGCTCGCTCGCTCCTCGTCGTTCGCGCTCGCTCGCTCCTCGTCGTTCGCGCTCGCTCGCTCCTCGTCGCGGGCGCTCGCCTCTTGTCGTTACGTTGCCCCTCGCTGCGCGCGCTCGCCTACCGTCACTCGCTGACAATACACTTATTGATCCTTTAATAAATAATATAATAAAATTCAACGCTATCTATCACGAATGAAAAAAATTGTTTCAATAAAAATTTCACGTACAATCTAATTCTGCAATGAAAAATGGGGTCTCCATTTGAGATTTGAACGTTATCACCCACCCTACCCCGAGAGGATG